AAGTGTGGTGACACTTAAATGAACACGTGGATGTTTGTTATAGAACAAAACATTGGAGACCCGTCGAGAGATTCCACATGGATAACTATCTGAGTGTCGGTGGTTAATCTCTAACGTTCGGTAGTGAAATTGGTCCTTTGACTTGAGGTCGTCATAGTACCTTATATGAGGACAGTCATACTTTGGCGGTGTTGGATGTTGCTCTGAAAAGGGCCGCTAATACGACATCGTTCGGGTACGTCAAGAATCGTATGAAGGTTGTGATTGATCAATAAAGGATTCGTCACTCTTAGATAGTAGGAGATTATGATCTGCGTTTCATTCAATTAAGTCAATGATGAAATCCTTGGCCAAGGTGTACTCATGAGTCGAAAAGGAGTTTTCGATTTATATTGACTTAATAGTGGAGTGAAAGATATGATCGATGATCGAGATTGACACAATTCCATATCTCGTAATTGATCGGATCATATTGACGAAGGGATTATAGTTTCACGGTAAACGAACGAATTTGGTTGTCATACCACGTGACATTTCCCCTCACATGTATTGCCCTGACACATTGCTAGATGTCAATCAGGGACGGCGATTGTGAATTGACGATAAATTAAAAGGGTGTTTTAATTTATCAATTTTGATTAGATCAAAATAATATTTCACGTCGTTAGGCATCGTGGTCGGGAACCTAATGGGTCACACACAAAAGAGAATTGGAAGATTGCAAATTGCCAATTGATTAATTTAACAATCGTTGGATAAATTAATTAATTGGATTTGTTATTTATATTTTCGAATTAATTAATTGGATTAATTAATTCACGGACCGGGTTTAATTAATTGGATTAATTAATTATTGGGCCGGACCGGGCCGAGCCTATTTGGGTTTATATAAATACATAACTAGGGTTTGAGGTCCATTAAGGTTTTCATTATTCTTGCTAGCACAAGAGAAAACTCTAGAGGCTGCAATCATATTCTCTGTGTGGATCACCGTTGGAGGCTGGACAATTGGACAGCTGTGGTGGCAAATCAAGGTTGATTGAACGAAAAGAAAAGCAAAAGATTGCAGATCTGACAAAAGGTACAATCCTATCACAATTCCTAACCAAACACAATGAGATCTATTGGATGGGAATCGAAATATATTTTAAATTCCGCTGTGCATGTATAAGTAGATTCCCAACAATATCCAAATTATCTTGCACAGAATGTTGATGACTAATTTTCTCATCAGCAGTTTATAACCGGAGAATAATTTATTGCCTGTTGGAAGAAACAAAAATCATCAGTTATGGAGAATCTTAACATCGTGGGAAGTGTAAAATCTTACTTCCCACTAATTCACCACGATGTCTTTCACTCTTCTTATGCTGTAATGTTCTACATTTTATCTAGCTGATTTGAACTTTCTGTGCTGTGTGTTTTTTGTAATTCATTTTATAGTACTTTCCATTCTTTTCACCCCTCACTAGTAACAGAAACGAAACAAGTTGCTTTCCTTTTTATTTAATGTAAAACTCACAGGAACAAGGATTTTAACCTCTGAAGTCTTACAACAGGTTTCTTTTTCGGATAAGATAAAGCAACATCTGGATATGCTCTTACAATTGATGAACTTGAAGAGGTTATTCGCGCCATCAACTACTGGAGTGGTATGGTATCACTACATAATTCCACATATAATGCATGCATATATTTAATGCGTCTTGTGACAAGTGGTGTTTTAAGACTTACTTTCAATTTAGCTTATGCAATACATTAGTATGCAGATATATGCAAAAACTTTTACAAATCAAAACCTTACATGATAATGTATGTTTCCTATGATACCTCTTCAATATGGGAGGGCGACTATAATTAGTAAAAAAGATCCTTGGAGAATGTTGATCAAAACGATGTGTCATCTTCTGCAAGATTCATTCAAGGTTCAAATAGATGCATACATATATACATACATTTGCGAGGACTCTTTGAAAAACAGTTTGTTTCACTGTTACCCTCATATACAACCTGAGCAACATAGTATACGAATTGAGCACTAGACATTTTTAACCATTCTTTTGCGATGATTAGACATTATATTAATGGAAAAAGCAGCCATATCAGATTTTTGTCTCACGAAAACTCATGCATCACCTAATAAAGATGTAACTTTACGCTAAAGGATATTTAATTTTTAGCATTGAAGGTCGCAGAGCCTGAGGAATTACCTCTTCTATATATGCTAGAGAAGATATATGTTTAAGTAAATTGTTGGTGTCTTTGCCAATGAATATTGACAAGAAAACCTAACCAATTGCTCTGTCTTCTATAGATTGCTGGTTTCGTAGTTGGACTTGTACCTCAAATTCGAAAGTTGTTGATTGGTGAGACAGCTCCTGTCCATGTTATCCAAGATACTGCACTTCTGCTCGGGTATAAAATCCATCTTATTTACTTCTCTGAACTCTGCATTTCTGCAATAAAACGTGTGAATAGACATGCATGCACTTGCTCCTGCATAAATTATAATGTAATTATGGAAACACCATTAGCTGATTACATGGTGACAGAGTTGTAATCTATTGAATGATTTCAAGGGATTCATTTTGTAACGCCCTAAATTCTAATAACCCAAAACGTTACGAAACATGAATATATCAAAGGGCTTGAAATAAATAGTTTTAATATAACTAGAAATTCTGTAAAAAATTGAATAACATTTAATCAAAAGATAAATTTAAAATATGCGGAACATTTGAAAACATATCATTCATCAAACATTATTAAAACAATTAGAACTAATTGAAATTTTTAACGTACTCACAATTAAGTAAAAAAAAAAAAAAAAAAACCCATTATTATTAAAATTCTAGCGTTTCTGAAAATTAAAGTACTTCATGACGAGAATCCGTTGGTCCAATAGCAAATCCATCCACCACCGTCCAGCATACTAATTCTTACCTGAAAATTGTAAATAAAGGGGATGAGTATAACGAATTATACTCAATGAGATACTTGCTACTCTACATTCAAGTCAAATATGAAATTATGAATAAATTCTCTTACCAATATACAATGAGAATTATCGCACCTAACAAATGATAATTCTAGCAGGTGCTGCAAAATAACGTGCAAGCTAAATTGTGTCTTAAAATATATCATGATTTCTCCCGAAGAAACTTGAATTGAAGTAATTAAATTCATACATAATAACGCATTTGAAAAGATGTGGAAAAACCACTAATAGCACTGAGTATCTCACCTTTTGAAGATGAAAGTGGGGGACAAAATTGCAGAAAACGTGATTGAAATTCCAAAGCCTTAAAAAAGTTTTAATAACATGGAGGAATATTTTAAAGAGGAAGATATAATGGACGTACTGAAGCGTACTGCAGAATGAGGAATTAATTGTAAAATGGTCAAGGTCTTATGTCATATATATAGTAGAACAAAAGTGGTGATGTGTGAACACTTTAGAACAAATCACAAAAATTCGGGTTAATTACTCCAAAAATTCCGTCCAAAGTTTCCCAGAATTTGGTCCAATTCTCTAATTGATATAAACTAATTTGGAGATTCCCTATTAGATTTTTGGCAAGAGACACAATGATTGCATAATTCCGTGGACACATGAAAAAAGTGTATGAATTGCATGCATAATTCCTATTCTATTCGAATATTAAAATCAATTAAAAAATCCAAATTCCAAGTGATATGCTCCTATTATGAATTTCCAAAAATCTAAGTATTTAATTGATATTAAATTACAACTAATTGACAACTCCCCAAAATCAAGGCAAAGATGTAAAACCTACCATTTTCTTTCTCCAAAATCAAAGCAAACAAATATTAAAATAAAGCTTACCTTACCTACCATGCCTACAAAGATACACAATTACAAGATTAAAAAAAAAAAAAAAAAAAAAAAATTGGCAACCCCACAATTTCATTCAAACTTTAATTAAATTGAAAACTAATTTTCTTTTTCTTCCTTCAACTTCTTTAAACGATAATTTCTTGGCACTGATTTATCCAAAACGACTTTTTCTCGAGTCTAATATATATAATTAATTACGAGCTATCCAGTGAGCCTAATATTGATATAGTAATTTAGTCCGAATTGGCAACTAATATTATTAACTAAGTAGTTTTTCTTAATTGGCTATAACTCGAGTTTAACTTATCCAAATTAAATTCATCCCAAGTCCATAATTCACCATTTATTATGAGCTTCAAAATGAACCCAATATTGGTAGGGTAATTCTAACTCTTTCAATAATTAACTATTTGGCACATTTAACAAAGTATAAAAGAATTCGATATTTATTTTCACTTCGGTCCCTCAACTAATAAGATATCCATATAGATCTAAAACAACTATAGAGATAATCAATTAACTTGCATAAGGACTTAACCAAACATTGCATTCCTATTAAATGGTAAATAAAATATCTACGAATTCATTAAAAAACTTCGGATTCTACACATTTGGACATATCAAGAGACAATGGTTGAACTATTTGCATGGATATGATGAACATGAGTAGATAATTGACTTGATTCTTATTTCAAGTTACTAAATTAAATCAAATGCTTATTCTTCGTCATTTATATCGCTTTGGTTCCTCTGGAGAAATTTAAGTCAACCAAAGATGTATATGCCTACTTATAATGGGACACTCTTTTAGTATCCTTATGCTGATGTGTGTGGTATGATATGCCAGCTGAAGCATCTTTCTAACAGAATATCTGTTGCATTCCTACACATGATTTTGCACAGAAGACACCCCAAAACTATAATCTAAGTACACTGGATATGATCTTGAAATTAATGCACCAAACTGACTAGTTTAAGCTTCTTAAAATAAATGGATGGGAATCAGCAAGTCATATTCTTCTTAAATCTTTGAATTTAGGGTGTATCAGAATCAGGCATCAATTCAGCTCTTCCCATCTTCAATTGTCCTAGACAGATAAAGATTATTTTGCTCTTTGCACTGCTATCATACCCTGAAAATGGGTATCTATCATAAATTCATTATGAATGAAGCTTTTATCATTTTTCTTCTTGAATGAATAACTTAATTATAATCGATGAAGATTCTCAGACTCATCATTAAATAATACAGGGATGGAGCTATTCCAGCTGTCACACTGGTAATGGGTGGAAACCTTTTAAGGGGTATATGTTAAATCAGTTTCTAAACATGGTTATTTTTGGTTTTACCTGTCAATTTCCTTTGGAAAAGAGTTACTTCTCACTCTCTATTTTCTTTCAGGCTTAAAGGGTTCAGAGATTCAGAAATCCATTATTTTAGGCATAATAATTGTTCGATATGTTGCCCTACCTCTGCTAGGTATCGTCATTGTTAAAGGGGCAACTCGCTTTGGTTTGGTGCATCATAATCCGTTATATGAATTTGTTCTTTTGCTTCAGTTTGCACTTCCACCTGCAATGAACATAGGTTTGTTATAGCTGCAATCACTCTCTGTTGTAAACCTTTCCTATTTTGTTCTAGTTTTACAAGAGTAGTTATGAAGTATAAAGAGAAATGATTATAAGGAGTTTTTGCCTTAAAATTAAGGCTTTGCTTCTTTTGATGTAGGTACCATGTCTCAGTTATTTGGTGCAGGAGAAAGTGAATGCTCGGTTATCATGCTATGGTGTTATGCCTTGGCTTCAATTACACTCACTCTGTGGTCAACGTTGTTCCTGTGGCTCGTTGCCTGAAAGCACATTGGTCCGAGACTTGGAACAGTTTTGGGATATCAAAAGCCATTCATCAGTTGAAGAGTTTTGGCAGGCTGATGTAAGTGGCCGAATGGCATGAAGTTGATCAAGAAAGAGAAATGAGTACTGAGCATTCAAGGGAGAGGAAAAGTCAGCCTACCTTCCGAGAATCATGAGCACTTTAATCCCTTCATTTTACACTGAAAGCTACATTTTCTTGTCCACATTATTCGATTTGAGAAATTCCATGTAGTAGAAAATACAAATTGGAAGCTCCAAAGAATACAATTGACTATTGCTTTTAAAGTTTGAGTTGTTTTTAACTGCATTTACTGACTCAGTCTTATTTTACTAATGATATTTATTAGGAAGTTCCTACAGCTGATGGGGTCTTGAATTTTTTTCCGATAAGCAAAAATTTCGAGTGTATAGTCTAAAGGGATTCTCATCACTTTAGATATTGCCCTTCTCAGCACAGGAGAAAACCCCATAGGCAAAGCCTATCTAACAGAAAATCTGTCCAAAATATTAACTGAAGTTATATCAAAGCCAGGAGAAGGTGGAATGAGCTGGCAAACATCCTTGAGGAGCCATATTTGTGTCAATGTGAACAATTTTTCAATTTAAGCTTCTTTTTCACGTGCATGGGTATTGAGAAATAAGGTACATAGACATGCCATGTAAGCCCACAAATGTAGCACTATCAGAAAAAAAGAATGTTACCTGCACAGAGACTGCGAATCTGGCCTACCCAATCTCCCAAATACTTCTCAGGCCAAACTTACCATTTCCCTACAAATCCTGCAAACGTATGGGGGGAAACTGTGCTCGACTTGTGTTTGAAAGAGTCTTTACGACGAATAGAATACCCTTGGCATGATACTCTACCAAATGAATGAAAGACCAAAGAACCAAATTTTTTAATTGCACCCCCATCAAATAACACTTCATCGTGGATTATGTATTGAAGATTGAATACCACCTTCTTGACATCCAAAAATGGGTTCAATTCAAGTCATCAGATTGGCCCTGCACTTTCACTGATATTTTTAACTGCTGCTGCTCCATCTCTCTCAAAACAAGAACCAGCTTTGCTCTTTATGCTTCACATATCTCCTTGCATTTTCCAATTGAGCTGTTAATTCATGAATTTTATTTTCTTGATTCTGGAAAAGTAAGGGGAGAGTCAAATTTTAGAAGTAATCTAGAAGGACCTGGCTACTGGTACAGAAGAGGCTGACAGAAGAGCCATACATAACGATGTGGCAATAACATTGGAAACCGGCCCAATGCCATTCCAACTACAGTGAAAACCATTTTCCCCCAAATCGTTGAAACCCTACACTCGGCGATCCGGCTTCTCCCCCGACTTCATCCATCTTCTCCAACTGCACTTAAGAAATCAACGCTCCCGACAGAGGAAGCTTGGTCCAGTTTCCTTGTTTTCCCAATCATCAGTTGTTCGCCAGTATTATTTCGTTTGAGTCTGCGACCACCGTGTCTGCTGCCGAAATCGATCGCAAACTTTTGGTAAGTATGATGTTTGATTTACACAGGGGTGTGAATGTAGTTGAGCATGATCACACTGAGGCGTTTAGCTAAATTGAATTCGAATTTGATGTTTACCAGTAATGCTAGTCTCTGTTCCCTCATTTTCGATTTCGTTTCTCCATTGTCGACTTCATTTTCAACATTTTGACTTGAACCATGAGGACTGGAAAAATAAAATCACTGAGGTGTTTAGCTAAATTGAATTCGAATTTGATGTTTACCAGTAATGGTAGTTTCCGTTCCTTCATTTTCGACTTCGTTTCTTCATTGTCGATTTCATTTTCGACATTTTGACTTGAACCATGAGGTAAAAATAAAAATAAAAAAACAAACCTTCTGCTTCTGGAACTCGGTCTACCTTTCAAAATTCTTCCAAGTGCTCAAGAAATCAGTAATATTCATGTTTTAGCTCTTAATTACCACTTCGAAGCAGCAAACTGCTGAAAGCCAACTATTTGATTATTTATCTAAATTTGATGCACTATACACATAAAGGCCTTTGAAATGGAAATTTTGTTTTGGTTTGTTCATTTGTTCATCGAACTCATGTTGTGATGTACATTTGTAGAACTCGAATTTGTGAGATTGAACTGAGGCTCTGTTCATTTGTTCGTTGGACTGAGGCTATGATGTTCATTGGTTTATTTTTATTATTATTATTTTTTTATTTTGTTCATTTGTTTATTCTCTCTTCATGGTTGAATGACAGCTTGTAATGGGCGGGCGAAATCAAGGAGTATGTCATAGTTGTAGGCGTAGCGGTCACTTCTTCGTAGATTGCCCAAACAAACGACCATGTCCATCATGCAAACATTCATTTGTGAAGTGTTTTGAGGTGGAGAAGGATACGAAGAACAAAGGGAAATGGTTCAATTGTTGCAGCGCCAACTGTGGGTATTGGGCGTGGGTTAAAGTAGGAGAAATAGGCAGTGAATCAAAGAAATTAGATGAAGATATATCTGGGGTGTTCGAAACCATGTGTCGCCTAAGCCACGAGAAAGATGTGGATATTTCCGTGAATGTGACAATACGTAAAGGAAAGGCTGTTGCGGAGGGGAATAAGAAGTGAAAAGGGTGGGGCCTACTTTTGTTGTTGTTAATGTGTTTACCTAACATTTTAGATGTTTAGAGTCTGTAATGGCATGCCTAACACTTTGTTACTTAGTTTATGTGGTCAATGTAATTGGATGTCTGTCATTTGGTTATTTAGCTTAGTGGTGAATGTAATGGGATGTAATCTTGTGTTTTCCAGCTTTTATGTTTTGTTGCTCTATGTCTTGGCAAACAATGCTGAAGTGGAGATGTTTCTATCATAAGACCATCTTACTTTAATTCACAATACTAAATAAAAGTACTAACCCTAGGTTTAAGTCCTAATCTTGGTATGGACTGGATTTCACTAAAGAAAAAGAGAGGATGGGCACGAAGGGATTAGTAGAAAGCTAATAGATTAGAGATTACCCCAAGGAAAAATAGAGAACAAACAGAATAAGATAGGAAGAAAGCTTTGCTTCCCATCCTGCTATTTCAAAATAAGGAAATGGGGCAAACGGCTCAGCTTTGAAAACGAGAATTGAGGGTCCTTAACTAAATGTCAGGAATAATCTTCCATCCTACTTTGACGTTCGTAAAACATAGGAAAGCAAAACATTGAACCCAAGAACTTGAAATATAGGAAAGCAAAACATTGAACCCAAGAAACAACATCAAAGCCACAAGAAGTTAAAGTAGCAGTCAAGTATGAGTAAGTTCATAACCTAAGAATATTGGATACCATCACAAAATTCAAGCTTCCAAACTATCCAAAAATGGTAAATTTTATGCCATGATAATAATTTGAAATAAAACAATCAAAATGTTAAAAACTATTGCAATAGAAGTGGAAGCCAGTTGTCTTCAGTCATTACTTTGCGAACATTTGAAGTTTATGCCAACTTCACGGCTTTAGGCGACATGTGCTGTGTGCAAGAGTAATGAAGTAACACCATGGAGAATTTGTAACTTACAAGCTGGTAACTACCAGCTCTTACAGTTGAACAATGTCTATGGTGTCTTTCTCCACGCCCAAAATCTGACCAGAAATGTGCAATTATAAATTAAGACATGATATGACCTACCAAGCAACCAACACCTGTTCTGAAGTTCACATAACATAGATAGCTGACATAATAAAAAAATTGTATTGCCAACTGAACAAAAAAGTCTGCCAAGTTCAAAAAACATACAAATAATAAGGTTGATAACCCGAATTCTCAATAGCCACCCTCCATAGAGACAAATACCATCAATGAAGGGGATATACAAACCAAAAAATAATATAATCGACCAACATACAACTATGTCAGCTTCTAATCATTTTCAAAGGATATAATGCAGAACCATTTATGTGAGTCTTTACGGGCTCAATTTCAAGGATTTCTACCTGCTCGGTCTCATCCATAAGGAAAGTTGTAGGCCGTGGCTCGAAACCCTGCGATGTACCAACATTATTAGTCAAACACGGAAGATGCAATTCGTGGGGGAAACATGCTTTAAAGCATGAAGTACCTTCAGCACTGAGCATGCCTTGATCAGCAGTTCCGGAGACAAAGTTGGAGGACTGTAATTGCTGTGCAAATGCAATGCTTTGGTTGTGACCTTGTATGAAAAAAGAACCTTCAGTAGACTACATATGTATTGAGAGAAGTTAATCATATGAATATGCTTACCATTAATAGTTGCGAAAATGAAAAGGGCATGTGCGGATTATATGGTGCTTGTTGAGGTGGTTGAACAATACTTGCACCATTCCCCATTTCATTTGTATGAGACTTCGGTCTTTTTCCTTTGTTTGTAGATGAACTTCCCTACATGATGTCGTAAGTTAATAAATAGATGCTCGAAATTTAACATTATTCGTAACAAAATTTTTGAACACACCTTTCCGTAGTTTCCATTGGGCTCTTTTTTCGAAGTTTCCTAGGTGCGCTCTTTCTCTTCACGGATTTTGGATCCTTCAAAACGGCGGTACTACTATCGTGTGATGCTCCGCACTGACGATCCGTCTGGGTTATGTGCGAGGGAATGACATTGGTCCCACAACTTGATTTCGAAGTCATTATCTGATTACACTACTGTTCAATCCACTCCAGTAGAGTTGTAGCTCGGACGACATCATCAGCAGGCAGGTTTGCCAACCTCGCAAAAGACTGACACAATTTCTCATACATCAACTGTCTAGGAGTACTACCGAGTCCATCGTAATTCACCGCAACCGGGTGTGGGCCCTATGAACATGTCTCCGCCACCTCCGTAAGATATATTTGTCAGGCAGTGATTTCACATCATTTCGGACCAACACTGCAATAGCATGCCTACATAGTATACCCCGGAACTCGAATAGGTGGCAACTGCAAGTAATATCACATGTTTTTTTTCGGAAAGAGATCGGTAATTTTTTTTTCCTGGAATGTTCATTGTGTATCACATCCTCATGTACCTCATACATCGTCCCAAAACACCCATCCGAAATAGATATGACATCGTAGTAAACTTCCCCTTAAACTCTTCCTGAACTTCCCTAAATTTTGAAATTGTGTACACTGCCTAAAATTGCTTCTCCATTTCGCATCTGGTCGTGCATGGTATCATTTGTGAGTACGACTTAAAATCTGCCTGGAACTCCTTCTCCACTTTATTTCGCAATGCTCTTTCATACTGTTCAACAAATTGCTTTAGCAATGTCTTTGCATGTACAAACCCATCAAAGAATGCATTTATACCCTCACTTTTTTGGGTTGTTGACATCCCCGCCTAGAACGTGGTCTTCAGATAGCAAGGAACCCAACGACATCTATTATCATACAAACATGATAACCAATCGTTATCATGTAATTCGAACTTCTCAATCATCGCTTTCCAACCATCATCAAATTGCTCAACAAATTGGGAATCATAAACCAGTCCATGTATAGTATGAAATATAGAACCCTTCTGAATGTGATAACCAAACTTTTCTGACAACTTCTTCAATATATGCCACAGACACTATCTGTGCTTCGTATCCGGGAAAACGATCTCAATTGCACTTTGCATGGCCCTGTCCTGATCCGTAATTATCCCATGCGGCGCCTGACCATGCACACACTGCAGCCATGTCCTAAACAGCCATACAAATGTATCTGTATCCTCGCCAGACAACAAACTGTACCCAAGTAGAGTCGACTGTCCGTGATGGTTGACCCCAACGAAAGGCGCAAAAGGCATATCATAGTTATTAGTCAAAATAGGTGGTATCGAAGGTCACAACATCGCCAAACTCTTTATATGCTTGCCTACTCCTGTTGTCAGCCCAAAACACATTTCTTAGTCTTGACTCGTCGTCCAAATCAATACTGAAGTAAAACCCCGAGCAACTTGCTTGCATTTTTGAAAAATACGATTGTATCGCTACGGCGTCGCCTTCTCCAAGCCTTAATCGCCGAACTTGTTCTACATAGTGTCGGCAATCCTTTTCCACGAAAGTCACATTCTCGTATCCACCTGCTTCTACCACCGCAGAGTTATAGCTTTTGTGCAATAGAATTCCTGCAATATCATTTACTTCAAGGAGCCGTTTGACTTGTGCACTCAATTCTCGATTGCAGCGATACAATCTGGACTTTGTAGGGCTTGTTCTATGATTATGCTCGAGGTTCACTGTGTTAATTCTCTAAACTCCATGACTATCTGCAGATGCGGTTAACCTAACTTTACAACTAGTCTGGATAGTTGCTTGTGGCCTCAATGAACCAACTGTAGTACTGCTTCTTTTCCCCTCGCGACTACACGTCAAAGTAATATATCGCACAACCCCATCGTCATCCTTCTTCGAATTTCTTGTTCTCACTAGAAAACCTACCTTGTATGCATATCTTTTGTAAAAATCGAACAATTCCTTTTCATGTTTGAATTTCATACCCACTTCAGGAACAATTGCACCATCCCCGCCAACGATTTCATCACCACCCAATAAGTTCGGTTCCTCCATAACATTCTCATTATCCGATTCCACCAAAGTAATGTCGTCTATACCTTGCGAACTTTCATCCCCTGCAACATGATACAAAGTACACATCAAAAGCAGAAAACCAAATTTCAACTTTGAACCAACATTTACAATTCATTCAGAACATTAAATTAAGTGGTCATTGAAATCATAGTGGTATGCACGTACTAGAGAAATTATCGGTTTGCCTAACATTTCAGCTATAATAAGCTCACAAAATTTAGATTATTTGATCACTAAACTTAATTATACAAATAAAGAAAGAAACCTTTTGCATCCAGAGCTCAAAACTATCTTAAATAAGTTTCTTGTGGAACTAAAAAAAATGGAAATCTTAAATAAAATTACACGGAGCTTGTTGTTGGCTTCAAGTTTTGTTTTTGCTAAAAGAAGCTTAAAGACAAAATTTTCATCAAATGATTCAACTTTATATTCACTAAACTTAATTGGTCACTGCCTAACACCATACAGATAACGGTTTTGCCTAACACTTCGCCTATACCATACAGATAACAGTTTTGCCTAACACTTCAATTAAATCGATCAACACATTGCATTTCAATCATCATCATAAATTGCAAAACCGAGAAAAGCTAATGAGCAAAAAGAACTTACCATTTTCTGTCACCATTGCCCCCCACATAATGAGCAACGTCCAAAGTTGCCGACAACAAAACGGGCTGGTGCAAGTCCGGTGTCTGACAGTAGACAACGACGGTAGAGCGGTGGAAAATGGGAAGAATTACGCTGTCCAGAAGCTATGGTTTGGGGGAAAATAGGCCGATTTTCACGACATCTTTTGCCGGTTAAGCGGCGAAATTCTGTCCCCTTTTCGCCTTAGTATATGACCGCCGTTCGCCGGAAATTCTGGAGAAAATGGGTCGGTCGATTGCTGTCAAGAGCTCATGGAGAACTTGGGAGAAAAAGGGGCTGAAAGTGGCGCCTAAAATGAATGAGTGTTGCCCCTTTTCCCTCTCTCTCGTTTTCACCCTCTTTTTTTAAAAACGAGAAAAGCCACGTAAGAAAACCACGTAATTCTGTCAATAGTAGTGTCAAACTAAAATGTACAAATAGCTTTTTCCAATCTAGAAACTAGAAGCATGAATGAACTTAAACTAGATGAAAAATAAATAAATAAAATAAAATAAAAAAATTTGCACGTTCACGAGCTTAGAAATTGCTTTGCATCTTGTCATGAAATTACAGAATACTCTTACTGATTCTTATATATTATTGCTTCCTAACCTGTTGGCACGGGTCTCTGAATGAAAATATTCATATTTTGTTCTACTAAAAACTAAATTAATATGCATAAAAGTTTCTTATTCATGCTTGAAAATCCGTCTATAGCTTTGTAGGTCTTATTTATATAAAAAGAAAAAGAAAACGAGAAATCCACTTCAGAAGTATCCAAGACAGTAGTCACTCAACCGATTTTCTTCCGAGGACTATTGGAAAATAATCAAATTTAATATAGTAATTCACGTTAACATATCAACTAATTAGAGAATACCAACAGTAAGATATTTTAATTATTTGAGATGATATAACAATTGTGGTGCTTCCACTGATTAATGGTGAAGTGGAACCTTGATATGCCAAAGGCAAAAACCCACGAGTAATTAACATTGAATACTATAGAACTATCTCACAAAACTTATGCTATCTTGACGTGGTGTGAAATAAGTAATTCAAATGAGAACCTTAAGAGTGGAAGCTTGGATAAAAATAAAATTGTTTAGTTCGTAACACACGAACTGATGTTTGCTTGAATTTCGTTCGAACGAACATGATAATAATTTGAAATCCACCAACAAATTGAAAAACAGAAATATCTTATTAATCAAGAATCGAATAATGAATTGAACTTTAAAAAAGTGTACAAAGCCCTTATATATAGGCAAAATATCTCTTAATCTTGCTAATATAAGGAGTCTAAAATAAGAAAACTAATAAAAACCTAATATAATTAAAATTCATATTCTAATCTATAAAGAAATTATAATCCTAATTAAAAAAAAGATAAAAGTCCAATCACAACTATACCTAGAAAAGATAAACACAGCCAAAAAAGATAGAATTAAACAAAAGTTTCCTAGTAAGAAATAATGTTTATCTTATTTCTTTCTTTTCATAATTGATTTTGAATTTTCTCTTGGTATTGTCCTGCATTATTTCCTTCCACTTCAAAACAAGTTGACCCTGAGTTGTCATCAGAGTAAAAATGCTTATCGAAGAAGAATTTACTATTTGAGTTTGTAATTGTCAAAAATTCTCACACTTTCACTTCAAAAGCTCTGTATAGCCTACCTGTGGTAATCTTTTTATCCTTCTACTTAAACTTGTAGGTATTCTCTCTATCATTATGTATGTCATGCATATTAACTCGAAATGTGGTGACATTAAAAGAGTTATGATATATTTGTTATTTGTTCTAATTCTACTCTAAAAAAGTAATAAAAAAATGTTTAAATCTAATGTGAATATTCTTATCGGAATCTTGAACCCCCTATTGTCATTTATTTAAATTCTTAATGGGTAATCTATTAAATTCATGCATTCAAAATAATCGACAATTTTCTATTCAATATTCTTTTTCAAGATACATTAAACCTATATTTAATACGATCTGATCTTATTCCTAATCCAAATTCATATGAAAAACATGCATTGATTCACAAAATTTATCACACATAATTGCATATACCATAAATATTATTCCTAATATCTATTGTCAATGTATTGATTTTATCACATTCTAAGCTTATTGTAAGTATTTCTACACTATAACAAGCAACTTACTATTTAATTGGTAATCAAGCAATCACATAATTCAATGAGAATGCAAAACCAATTAAAAAAATTAAGAAATACTAGATTAATTATTTTGAATTAAAATAAACAAATAATAGGGTTTATCATTCATCCAATACAAAGGAAAAATCTAGCCAACCATCCCAATTATTAAATTATACAAGAAATAATAAAAAGACATCACTTAGATTGAAGTACTTAAATGAAATGTTGATTTTGGATGAATAATCTTCAAGAATCTTGCACAATTTCTTTGATGATGATGATCTAGCCTTGTTCTTTGTCTTAAAATATATTAAATATAGAGATTTTTAGGTCTAGGGAGGTCTCCCCACATTTTGGACAAATTATGCTATTTAAAGGATGCCCAAAAAATTGTTATCAAAATAGAGTTTTAATTGGAAAAGAAAACAAACTCTAACTTCAAAAAAGTACTAATATAGTACAAAAGTAAGCGGTCGCATATAAGAAATCATAGTGGGTCCTTTGAGCTCTGAAGGTATAGATATGTTCGCATCTAATTAAACCTACGGGACCACATATGTATAGTATTTTTCCCACGGGACAGCAATATTTTGATTATATCTTTCTTTGTCGATATTCTATTGATGTTATTCAAATTGCGTTCAAAAGACAACTCAAAGGGCTACAATTCCTCCAAGGATGTTATTTTTTCAGTTCGAATATTTCTTATGTCAAAAATGGGTTTCAAACGGAAACTGAAAATTCGAAGCATAACTTTTCTCCCTGAAGGTTGATATGTGATAATACTTTGACTATATTTGATCATTTTGACTTCTTTCCTCATTCAATATACCCCTAGCACTCTCGAATCTTCATTATAAAGTTCGACTAGCTTTTGAGTATTTGTATTTTAGTCCCCAAACTTTTTATTTGCTTCATTTCAGCCTTTTTCTCTTGTAATCTTGTTCTTTTATCTTCCAATTGCATTCAATTAAATCCTTAGCATCTTTGAATTCTGTTCTCAAATTCTTCATCAAACATCAAGTTATACCTACAAAATGCAATATAATACAAGTTGGATGGTATTTTATCTAAAGAATAGTAAAATATCATCATTTAGGATCTCGAATAAGTGTAAAAACTACACTTATCACTACTCCTCTTGGTGTTGCTCAGCAACTGCATTTGCTTTACCTTTATGTTGTTGTATCCTGCATATACTCTCCATGTGCCCAATCTGATCACATTTCCTGTGACATCTGGTCTCCACCAACTCTCACTTTGCAAGTGATTGTTCTATTTACATTATGTGCAAGGTGGATGTGTTTTCTCCATTTTTTGTTGTTATTTTCAGTCTTTTGTTGTTCTTCTACTTGTTTTTCATCTTGTCTTTGCCTCGTCCCAAATTTTGTACCTTTGCTTGAAAATCACCGTGCACAGGTTCATCTTACCTCATCATTCTTCTTTGCTCTTGCGCCTGCAGTGCGTTACCAATTCTCCCAAAGATATACTGGATAAATCTTTGGACTCTTTCTAATGAAGAAATTTTAGAATCATATTTTTTAGGAATGCTTAAAAGAATTTTTTGCATAATTCGTTCATGTGGGAAGTCCATACCAAGTAATCTCACCTTGTTTATTATGCTCAGCAACTGATCAAGAGTATTCTTTGATGTTTTCTGTATCTTTTACCTTCCGCATTTCAAACTCTCTAATCAAAACGAGCACTCGCTTGTTTTTGGTTCTTTCATAGCCCTGGTATTCCATTTTAAAGTACTCCTAAATATTCTTTACAGACATGAGGTTCATGATTCTTATAAATATTGTGCTTAACACAAATAAGGGCTTTAGCTTTGGACTTCCTACTCTTCCTTTCGTTCTGGTTCTTAACTTGAACCATCGTAGGATTTGCAAGTAATGGGGGAATATCATAGTCTTCCTCTACAACCTCCTAGAGATCTATGCGTGAAGATGGACTGTCATTCTAATAGCCAAGACTTGTAATTTAACACCATCAAAAGCTGATGGCACAACATGTGAGATGGTTATTTCAGTTTCCATTGCTTGGCGGTTGTTATGTACAAGTTTTGTGTTTGTGTCTTCATTTGTGTTTGTAGACTTGCTCAACTCACAGATCCCTTAAGAAAAAGGAAATTGCTCGGTTTACAGGGGACTTACCGACCCCTCCAGTGAGGGGTCAGTCCCACATGAAAAAAAAAATGAAATAAAATACGTCGGAGCTCACGATTGTGAGTATTCTGACAGGGTCCCTGTAAAACAGACCCCTGTAAGTGTAGCAGGTTCCTAAGAAAAATGCTCTGATACCAATATGCTGTCAATGACACAAGAGCTAAGTAAGAGAAGATAGCAAACAAAATGAAAAATAATTTTAGAAAAAAAAAAAAATATATATATATATATATATATTCACTGTACAGCTCTTTATATAGAGCTAAAGTTTAACAGAGCCAAATAATTTGCTGATTAAAAAAGCATAACAACTTCCTAATATCAAGCCATAAGCAGAAAAATAAAATCAACTATCTCCCTAAAGAATTGATCTTCAAGCACATGTTGCAAATTTGATTTTGACCAACTGCTTGACAACTATTCTGCCTAGGGGTGGATCCAAACGACTTGAGTTAAGAGGTCAAAAATAAAATTTATAAGGTATCTTCTAAAAATATAAATAAATAAATAAAAATAAATAAAAACTAAACAAAATTTTTCTTTTTTCCAAAATCTAGAGGGTCAATTCACCCTATAATCCCCCCGAGTCCGCCCATGAGTCTGCCTGTTATTTAGTCCATATGCAGCTACTTGGCACTCTTGCAACAACTCTTACTGAAAATAGCATTCATCAATTTGATCCAACACTAAATAGTCAAGTTGGTTGCCCGTTGACCTACCTACTTGGTTCGCTTATCCCTATGTTAAACTAGGGTATTTTGGAATTTTGACATTTTAACCCTATATTACGACTAAATATAGTCACGCCAAACTTATTAATAACAAAGTCATAATTTAATTACATAAAATGTCTAACAGCTCTTACTTTTATCTCCCAAAATTCTAATTCTCTAATTAACACAACTTGTCCCTGATGACGATTTCTATCCAATTTCTATCCAAAAATTTAGTTTAGATGAAATAAAAAGATTTATTTGTTGTCATATTTTTGTATAAGTCAAAAATAAAAATATTTACCACTCATTTTAAAGCACATTAATAGTATTTTTGCACGAAAATTGTGACTAAGGACATTGTTAGTGAAAGTTCGAATGTAAGAATTGATAAAAAATTAAAAATATAAATGTAATAATGAATAAAAGATTAATGATCTTTAACGCAATTAATATGTGTGTTTATAAAAAGATGTGGACTGAATTTAATCATCCTAATGTTATTTAGGGAAGAAATTCGCATAACTGTTTCAATTTGCTGTACTACATGAAAGTTCTAAATATTTGGTCACTGTTGCACATATGTACTAATTTTTGTTATGGCAGTCTTGGCACTCGACTTTTAGCTTGGAGTGAAAGACAAAGAAAAACGATCAGAAGAGCTCACAAGGATGTGGGCAAATGAGCTGCCCGATTCATGAATGGATACATTCTACACGTCATGGTATTAGTCAATTCAACAGCCTTAGATGGGTGTAAGGGTATCCAAAGTACAAATGAAATGGATGTTTGTTCCAAGCCATTCTTTTAGTCCTAAGTACAAGAAGGAAAAGGGCAATTGCTAACAAAGTTTTCGATTTGCTGATTCCTAAGTGTAATTCTATTAATTAGTCCAAGTCGTCCTGCATTACATCATCAATCCAAAAGATTCAATAATAAGCCTTTAATAAAAATAAAACAAATGCAAAAGTACTACGAAATGTTTGTCACTTATTTGAAAGCGTCCTAATGGAAAATTTTGACAAAAACCGCCATCAAAGACAATTTATTCAGATTGATTGAATATTAAAGGCATTCTCTGTGGAAAAATTATTGGTCAGTGTGCAAAATTATTTTATTCGAATAATGTATGGTTGAAAATAAATTTGAAAAAAAAAATTCTACCAAATAAGGACTAAGTGTGAGAATGCGATTAAAAAGAGTTGAGTATGACAATAAGCAAAGATTGAAAATATTTATTACTAATGTAGCGCAACAAAGAAATATTGTGGCATGACATAACTATTCTTCAAAAAAAATGTTTTTAGGGGAAGCCATTTTTCACTCTAACTTGGTAATAGAAAATTTTCACATGTCTGAAATAGTTAATAAACAATTCGGCCTGCTTGATATAACAAAATTTTCATGAAAGTAGGAAATTAAATTCCATATGCTACATTTTTCGTATGTTTTATTGGCTAAATTTTCCCTGGAATTGATTTTCTTGTCACACCCCATTTTTATATCTGTTTGAGGAATATGTTTTCCCATGAGTATGGGTTTGGTAGTTTTTGATTTTCGAGCCTTTTATTTTTTTGGCAATCGAAACGAATTTTATCCCCAATTGTAACAAATTATATCTCTTTAATTGACATTTTCCATGAAAAACAAAATAAAATGAACACCAAAAAATGCAAAATTTCAGTATTTTCTAGGTGAAAAATTATACTAATCAAACACACTTAATTGACAATTACCAATAAAACAAGTTCTAGACAATTCAATTCTCTGAATTCGTTTTCTTTGCACCCAAATTCTATTCTTGCAATCAAATGAACCCTTCAATTATAATAGATAGAAATGAGCTGCAAATAAGTATTTCGTACTCATAGGTCCCTTAAAATGTTTAAATAAAAAGTGACTTAGATGTCTATCAGCAAAATATCGGCTAAAGGATAATGCAGATTCTCTAGTCCACTATGCTCTTAAGAACACTACAATTTCAATCGGATCAAATCCCTCTAAATTCCATACTTCTGTCAGTTCTTTGCAGACGAGGGATTTTGTCCCAATTCTACCGTGGACGAGGAATTTGTTCTGAAAGTGTTCGACCTGCAAAATTGTCGCCACAAGAAGAAATGCAAGAGGTAGATAGGTAATATGAGAACGAGATCTGTTGAAAATTGACCAACTGCTTGACAACTATTCTGCCTAGGGGTGGATCCAAACGACTTGAGTTAAGAGGTCAAAAATAAAATTTATAAGGTATCTTCTAAAAATATAAATAAATAAATAAAAATAAATAAAAACTAAACAAAATTTTTCTTTTTTCCAAAATCTAGAGGGTCAATTCACCCTATAATCCCCCCGAGTCCGCCCATGAGTCTGCCTGTTATTTAGTCCATATGCAGCTACTTGGCACTCTTGCAACAACTCTTACTGAAAATAGCATTCATCAATTTGATCCAACACTAAATAGTCAAGTTGGTTGCCCGTTGACCTACCTACTTGGTTCGCTTATCCCTATGTTAAACTAGGGTATTTTGGAATTTTGACATTTTAACCCTATATTACGACTAAATATAGTCACGCCAAACTTATTAATAACAAAGTCATAATTTAATTACATAAAATGTCTAACAGCTCTTACTTTTATCTCCCAAAATTCTAATTCTCTAATTAACACAACTTGTCCCTGATGACGATTTCTATCCAATTTCTATCCAAAAATTTAGTTTAGATGAAATAAAAAGATTTATTTGTTGTCATATTTTTGTTAAGTCAAAAATAAAAATATTTACCACTCATTTTAAAGCACATTAATAGTATTTTTGCACGAAAATTGTGACTAAGGACATTGTTAGTGAAAGTTCGAATTTAAGAATTGATAAAAAATTAAAAATATAAATGTAATAATGAATAAAAGATTAATGATCTTTAACGCAATTAATATGTGTGTTTATAAAAAGATGTGGACTGAATTTAATCATCCTAATGTTATTTAGGGAAGAAATTCGCATAACTGTTTCAATTTGCTGTACTACATGAAAGTTCTAAATATTTGGTCACTGTTGCACATATGTACTAATTTTTGTTATGGCAGTCTTGGCACTCGACTTTTAGCTTGGAGTGAAAGACAAAGAAAAACGATCAGAAGAGCTCACAAGGATGTGGGCAAATGAGCTGCCCGATTCATGAATGGATACATTCTACACGTCATGGTATTAGTCAATTCAACAGCCTTAGATGGGTGTAAGGGTATTCACACCCCATTTTTATATCTGTTTGAGGAATATGTTTTCCCATGAGTATGGGTTTGGTAGTTTTTGATTTTCGAGCCTTTTATTTTTTTGGCAATCGAAACGAATTTTATCCCCAATTGTAACAAATTATATCTCTTTAATTGACATTTTCCATGAAAAACAAAATAAAATGAACACCAAAAAATGCAAAATTTCAGTATTTTCTAGGTGAAAAATTATACTAATCAAACACACTTAATTGACAATTACCAATAAAACAAGTTCTAGACAATTCAATTCTCTGAATTCGTTTTCTTTGCACCCAAATTCTATTCTTGCAATCAAATGAACCCTTCAATTATAATAGATAGAAATGAGCTGCAAATAAGTATTTCGTACTCATAGGTCCCTTAAAATGTTTAAATAAAAAGTGACTTAGATGTCTATCAGCAAAATATCGGCTAAAGGATAATGCAGATTCTCTAGTCCACTATGCTCTTAAGAACACTACAATTTCAATCGGATCAAATCCCTCTAAATTCCATACTTCTGTCAGTTCTTTGCAGACGAGGGATTTTGTCCCAATTCTACCGTGGACGAGGAATTTGTTCTGAAAGTGTTCGACCTGCAAAATTGTCGCCACAAGAAGAAATGCAAGAGGTAGATAGGTAATATGAGAACGAGATCTGTTGAAAACATAATTCTCTTCACAGCTTAGACAAAAATCTTTGCGTACATGGCAGAGGCAATCCTCGAAAACATTATTTCAATCTCAAAATTACAGAAACAAAATTATGTTTATTACCATAGTCTAATAGTTCTTTTTAAGCCTACGTAAGATTTGCATGCAAAACAAGAAACGACACGTACAAACAGATTCTTGAAGGAAGGATGTGAGAATAATTAGTATGGAGTGCTCCCGCTTGTAGGTGAGGACATCACAGACAGAATGTCAGTCACGGAAGCCATGGCACTCAAAGCAGCTTTAAGAACATCTTGAGAACACCCTGGTTTCACTATGGAACGCACCTGGAAAAAGAAGAAAAAGGGGAATAGGAAAATATTTAACAACAGAAGTAAACAAATACAAAATAGCCTTCACTTGCTAGCGTAACAATTGAAAATGACCCGTGGAATGGGCACAACCTTATCGAGGTGTCCCTGCAATTTCTTGATACGACCCATGTAATCTTGGTCCTCAACACACAGGGTTACGGCCTTTGCATCAGCCCCAGGACCTTCAAACTGAAGGGGGCCTGGGTTTCTATAGACATCGTCCATCAAAAATTTGGTTCCATTTTGTCTCAACAGCCTGCAGAGTCAAACAACAAGTCGACCCGAGAATGAAGGATGGGCCATCATGATTTTTGAAATACAATTTTGAGACTGCATGGTAAGACGAAGCAATCAGAACATTAGTGAAGAAATGGCTTACTCATATGACTTGCCCTTCAAATCCACAGCTGCTGGATGTAGAGCCGGTTTTCCCAGTGTCACAGCCCCATGGCCACGACCGTAGCGCTTAACGGTCATCATGCAAATAACAAAGTCATAATTTAATTACATAAAATGTCTAACAGCTCTTACTTTTATCTCCCAAAATTCTAATTCTCTAATTAACACAACTTGTCCCCGATGACGATTTCTATCCAATTTCTATCCAAAAATTTAGTTTAGATGAAATAAAAAGATTTATTTGTTGTCATATTTTTGTATAAGTCAAAAATAAAAATATTTACCACTCATTTTAAAGCACATTAATAGTATTTTTGCACGAAAATTGTGACTAAGGACATTGTTAGTGAAAGTTCGAATGTAAGAATTGATAAAAAATTAAAAATATAAATGTAATAATGAATAAAAGATTAATGATCTTTAACGCAATTAATATGTGTGTTTATAAAAAGATGTGGACTGAATTTAATCATCCTAATGTTATTTAGGGAAGAAATTCGCATAACTGTTTCAATTTGCTGTACTACATGAAAGTTCTAAATATTTGGTCACTGTTGCACATATGTACTAATTTTTGTTATGGCAGTCTTGGCACTCGACTTTTAGCTTGGAGTGAAAGACAAAGAAAAACGATCAGAAGAGCTCACAAGGATGTGGGCAAATGAGCTGCCCGATTCATGAATGGATACATTCTACACGTCATGGTATTAGTCAATTCAACGGCCTTAGATGGGTGTAAGGGTATCCAAAGTACAAATGAAATGGATGTTTGTTCCAAGCCATTCTTTTAGTCCTAAGTACAAGAAGGAAAAGGGCAATTGCTAATAAAGTTTTCGTGTTGCTGATTCCCAAGTGTAAATCTATTAATTAGTCCAAGTCGTCCTGCATTACATCATCAATCCAAAAGATTCAATAATAAGCCTTTAATAAAAATAAAACAAATGCAAAAGTACTACGAAATGTTTGTCACTTATTTGAAAGCGCCCTAATGGAAAATTTTGACAAAAACCGCCATCAAAGACAATTTATTCAGATTGATTGAATATTAAAGGCATTCTCTGTGGAAAAATTATTGGTCAGTGTGCAAAATTATTTTATTCGAATAATGTATGGTTGAAAATAAATTTGAGAAAAAAATTTCTACCAAATAAGGACTAAGTGTGAGAATGCGATTAAAAAGAGTTGAGTATGACAATAAGCAAAGATTGAAAATATTTATTACTAATGTAGCGCAACAAAGAAATATTGTGGCATGACATAACTATTCTTCAAAAAAAATGTTTTTAGGGGAAGCCATTTTTCACTCTAACTTGGTAATAGAAAATTTTCTCATGTCTGAAATAGTTAATAAACAATTCGGCCTGCTTGATATAACAAAATTTTCATGAAAGTAGGAAATTAAATTCCATATGCTACATTTTTCGTATGTTTTATTGGCTAAATTTTCCCTGGAATTGATTTTCTTGGCACACCCCATTTTTATATCTGTTTGAGGAATATGTTTTCCCATGAGTATGGGTTTGGTAGTTTTTGATTTTCGAGCCTTTTATTTTTTTGGCAATCGAAACGAATTTTATCCCCAATTATAACAAATTATATCCCTTTAATTGACATTTTTCATGAAAAACAAAACAAAATGAACACCAAAAAATGCAAAATTTCAGTATTTTCTAGGTGAAAAATTATACTAATCAAACACACTGAATTGACAATTACCAATAAAACAAGTTCTAGACAATTCAATTCTCTGAATTTGTTTTCTTTGCACCCAAATTCTATTCTTGCAATCAAATGAACCCTTCAATTATAATAGATAGAAATGAGCTGCAAATAAGTATTTCGTACTCATAGGTCCCTTAAAATGTTTAAATAAAAAGTGACTTAGATGTCTATCAGCAAAATATCGGCTAAAGGATAATGCAGATTCTCTAGTCCACTATGCTCTTAAGAACACTACAATTTCAATCGGATCAAATCCCTCTAAATTCCATACTTCTGTCAGTTCTTTGCAGACGAGGGATTTTGTCCCAATTCTACCGTGGACGAGGAATTTGTTCTGAAAGTGTTCGACCTGCAAAATTGTCGCCACAAGAAGAAATGCAAGAGGTAGATAGGTAATATGAGAACGAGATCTGTTGAAAACATAATTCTCTTCACAGCTTAGACAAAAATCTTTGCGTACATGGCAGAGGCAATCCTCGAAAACATTATTTCAATCTCAAAATTACAGAAACAAAATTATGTTTATTACCATAGTCTAATAGTTCTTTTTAAGCCTACGTAAGATTTGCATGCAAAACAAGAAACGACACGTACAAACAGATTCTTGAAGGAAGGATGTGAGAATAATTAGT